CAACAGACGTTTAGAAGACGTTCAACAGACGTTTAGAAGACGTTCAACAGACGTTTAGAAGATGTTCAACAGACGTTTAGAAGACGTTCAACAGACGTTTAGAAGATGTTCAACAGACGTTTAGAAGACGTTCAACAGATGTTAGAAGACGTTCAACAGACGTTTAGAAGACGTTCAGCAGACGTTTAGAAGACGTTCAACAGACGTTTAGAAGACGTTCAGCAGACGTTTAGAAGACGTTCAGGAGACGTTCAACAGACGTTCAGCAGACGTTTAGAAGACGTTCAACAGACGTTTAGAAGACGTTCAACAGACGTTTAGAAGACGTTCAGCAGACGTTCAGCAGACGTTTAGAAGACGTTCAACAGACGTTTAGAAGACGTTCAACAGACGTTTAGAAGACGTTCAACAGACGTTTAGAAGACGTTCAGCAGACGTTTAGAAGACGTTCAACAGACGTTCAACAGACGTTTAGAAGACGTTCAACAGACGTTTAGAAGACGTTCAACAGACGTTTAGAAGACGTTCAACAGACGTTTAGAAGACGTTCAGCAGACGTTTAGAAGACGTTCAACAGACGTTTAGAAGACGTTCAACAGACGTTTAGAAGACGTTCAGCAGACGTTTAGAAGACGTTCAACAGACGTTTAGAAGACGTTCAGCAGACGTTTGGAAGACGTTCAACAGACGTTCAACAGACGTTTAGAAGACGTTCAACAGACGTTTAGAAGATGTTCAACAGACGTTTAGAAGACGTTCAGCAGACGTTTAGAAGACGTTCAACAGACGTTTAGAAGACGTTCAGCAGACGTTTGGAAGACGTTCAACAGACGTTCAACAGACGTTTAGAAGACGTTCAACAGACGTTTAGAAGATGTTCAACAGACGTTTAGAAGACGTTCAGCAGACGTTTAGAAGACGTTCAACAGACGTTTAGAAGACGTTCAGCAGACGTTTAGAAGACGTTCAACAGACGTTTAGAAGACGTTCAACAGACGTTTAGAAGACGTTCAACAGACGTTCAACAGACGTTCAACAGACGTTTAGAAGACGTTCAACAGATGTTTAGAAGATGTTCAACAGACGTTTAGAAGATGTTCAGCAGACGTTTAGAAGACGTTCAACAGACGTTTAGAAGACGTTCAACAGACGTTTAGAAGACGTTCAGCAGACGTTTAGAAGACGTTCAACAGACGTTTAGAAGACGTTCAGCAGACGTTTAGAAGACGTTCAACAGACGTTTAGAAGACGTTCAACAGACGTTTAGAAGACGTTCAGCAGACGTTTAGAAGACGTTCAACAGACGTTTAGAAGACGTTCAGCAGACGTTTGGAAGACGTTCAACAGACGTTCAACAGACGTTTAGAAGACGTTCAACAGATGTTTAGAAGATGTTCAACAGACGTTTAGAAGACGTTCAACAGACGTTAAGAAGACGTTCAGCAGACGTTTAGAAGACGTTCAGCAGACGTTTAGAAGACGTTCAACAGACGTTTAGAAGACGTTCAACAGACGTTTAGAAGACGTTCAACAGACGTTTAGAAGACGTTCAACAGACGTTTAGAAGACGTTCAACAGACGTTTAGAAGACGTCTACCCAGATAGCACAAGTGTATTTGATGTGATTTTTACATCTGGAAGACGTATTTTTAAGAGTGTTTGCTCATCTGCAATACGTCTATAGGACGTTTCCTGTCAGATGTCAAATAGACGTTTAAAAGATGTCTTTAAGATGTAATGATTTAGAATGCATGTTAAACTGACATCTTCTAAACGTCTATTTGACATCTGACAGGAAACGTCCTATAGACATATTGCAGATGAGCAAACACTCTTAAAAATACGTTTTCCAGATGTAAAAATCACATCAAATAGACTTATGCTATCTGGGTAGAAGACGTCCAGTAGACGTTTAGCAGAATGTTCACGCGGCTCATTTACAGTGAAATCAGACCGTGATCAACACAAATCAGATCCGAGAGCCACAGTAAGACTTTAGTTTTGGACTAGTGGTATATGACACTGTTAGGGAGTTTTTTGTAGTTTCATTCTTGGCTGAAGGACTCCTTTAATTATCAATGGTTGTTTCTACAGGGCCCTGTTTAATAAGACAATATATGAAATGACAAACACACGGTGAGAAAAGCAGCACAATCAGTTCTGGCCTTTAGCTCCATGTTCTGCATCACACATGTGTGTGTGTGTGTGTGTGTGAGTTAGTGTGTGAATATGTGTCTCAGTGAGTAAGAGTTTGTGTGTGTATATTCGTGAGTGTTTGAGAGTATGAAGTGAGAACAGCTTCCTCGAGCTGTTGGTCACAGCTGAGACTTCAGTGTGAAAATCTGTTTACCAGACATGTGTGTGTGTGTGTGTGTGTGTGTGTGTTCAGCTCAGGTGTAAACAAACACAATTGTGTTTTTTCATGGCTGTCAAATGTACACAGACCTGAGGCAGAATATTAAAGTATCGAGACAAAAGCAAACTTCAGTGAAAGCAAAGACGTTCCCGTATTAAATTTGACTCAATGTCACCGTGTAGTCAACATTTTTCAAGAAATATTAGTGTCAAAATTATTTATCGGTGCACATCATCATTATTGTGTTAATTATGTAGAATCAGAATCAGTTCCTCTTCTCTTCTCTGGTGATGTGGGCGGGGCTATAACCTGTCACTCACATGAGATCAGCCAATAGCAAACCACAACCAACCAATCAATTCCTCACAGACACAATAAAGCCCCGCCCACATTTGTTCTTGTTCCAGAAGCGTTTTACTCGATATATACGGTGCAATAGTGGAGAAAAGACTTTTTCTTGCCGACCTTAATATTAGTTGACTGCCTGATTGAAATTTAGCTCATATGATCCCAAAACAAACAAAATGATCGAAAAAGATTTTTGCCATGAAAATGTAGAATAAATACTCAGTCAGAAGCATTTTAGAGGAAATTACAGCAAAACAATCGTAAATAATAAGGGAAGGAATTTAATTCTTTGCTGATGCCGGCTTTGAGAATAAAATGACACTCACAATTCGGACTTTTTTCTCAGAACGGTGACCCAAATAAAGTTCTCCAGTCGCAATTACCTTTTTTAGTTTGTTATTCTGTGCACGGCAGAAACAAACTTTCATGTTTGAAACCCACACTAACCGGCACTGATGGGCACTTTTCAAAACTAATGAGGGACGGTGAACGAATATTAATTTTTAGCTGAACTATTTCTGTAAGTACAGTAAAGCAGTGTGTGTGTGTGTTCGGTTGTTCTTGGGGTCTGTCAGGCTCTTAACTAATGAGTGAAGCGTCTTCCTCATCTCTCCACAGGACTGTTATTGCTCTATAACACACACTTCACTTTATTATGAGATGATTACGACAGATTAGCCATTGTTTGGCGTTTAAATGGGACTCTAAAACGGCACTTAAGCCATCGACTCCGTAACGCCACATCACAGTCCTGCAGGGCTTTAATTATGACACGCGTTCAGACGCAGACTGCCACTCCAAATAAACGAGCGCAATTAATTGCAACCGCTGTCTTCTATCCGTCCCTCGCTGATTTATTGTCAAATTAGTGCCTGTCTGTGCCTGAAGGAGGAGAAGGAGGAGGGAGAGAGGATTCCCGATCATCTCAGCTCGTCTCTGAGATCCCAACGCAAACACACTCCGACACGGACCAGTGACGCCGACCGACGACAGCGGGATTCACTCATGATCGCGGATTGAGACAAAACATGGCAGTCTGTAGAATGATAAAGTCTAGCACACCGATAGAGGACAGTCTGAACATGAACCACCGCAGTTTTGGAGTCTCTATCTCGATCCCTCTAGCGCCACCAACTGTTCAAAGTCGCACTAATGTTTATGCTAATAAGGGATAGCAACAAAATTCCCTTTTCTTCTGATTCCTTGACTCAAGATTCGATTGCAACCTCTGAAAATCTTTCCGCCATCTTGAATTTTTTAACAAAAAAAAAAAAAAAAACATTTTTAACAATGCACGAATTAATTTGACAAAGAGAGCGTAAAAAGGGATTTAAGGCTATATCTCCACAACGCTTTAGCGTATTGGGATGAAATTTGGTACATGTCATCACAATCATGGCCTGAGTATACTTGCAGTGTTTCGGCACAGCGCCACCTACTGGTCGGGAGAAATGGAAAAAAATGTTTGTTAGCTTTTGCCCAAACATTGAAGCATACAGTCGAATTTTGGGCGTCGACAATTTTGAATTTAGTTGTACGAACACATTATGTGTCATGTGTACCATGTGGTCGAAAATTAATAATATTACAAAAATATCAAAATTGATTATTATTTTTTCTTAAATGAGACTAGGGTTGATAGATTTCTTCAGTCATACAGAGAACAATGATTACAATTATGCCATATTTGGTTAAAACATTTGTTTTATTAATGTTATGTCATAAAAATACAACTGTTCATTGTTTTTACACAGTGCATTAACCAATGTTAACGGATATAACTTATGAATCAAAAAGTGTATTAGTAAATGTAGAGATTAACTAAAATTAATAAATACTGTAGAAGAATGGTTCATTGTTAGTTCATATGAAACCTTATTGTAAAGTATTAGCATTATTATTTGTGAATTGTACTTATTTGTGAAATTCATTTAAAGAGTTTATGTGTTGAAATCTGCAAGTAAACGTCACAATAGGCAACATTCAAAATATAATTACTTATTTCTTTCTTGTGATTTTAGGGTTTGACTTGACGTGAACAAACACTCCCCGGATTCTGAGGTTTAACGCTCACTTTAATCCATTGATTAAGCGGCAGCTCTTTCAGTCTGTCATATTTACTCCCAGATGTATTTTTAAATGCATGTTTGTGAATAATCCTCTGGCTCAAAGCACATTATTCCACGGAAGATGACGGGCCAGAACTCCTGCTGTGATCAGAACAGAGTCGATCAATAATCTCCACCCACACACACACACACACACACACACACACACAAAGGATCAGCAAAAAGGGTTGCATTTTTTCTACGGCTTGATTTTATTGGGATTAGACGTTTTAGAAAATCATTTGTAAAGATCTGTCCATTTGCACAGAATCATGTTGTGATAAAAATGTTTGTCAGGCAGAATCCTGGAGAATGAACGAGGAAGATTGTAGACGTGTGCAACGTGAAAGTATTTATCAATATCATCTGTTCACGACTGCGGCGTAAACGACACACACAGACTCCAGACGTCTTTACACACACTACTGTACATTTACAAAAACAGCGTCCATTAGCAAAGGCCGAAGAACTGCTAAGACTCGAGTAAAAAAATCGTTTCGAGATTTTTAGAAGAACAGAAAATGAGAATCACAGTCTGTAAACATTTAGCATCATCAGTCTGTTAAAGAATTGTTTGTTCCTCACTCGATATGGAAGATAAAGATTTGGAGACATCATCCCACTGTCTAGTGTCAAATACTGTCCGGAGCGTTACACTCTTCCATGTTTGAGTCCGTTTGATGGGATTGGGAGATTTCCTACATGCACTACTGGTCGCTTTAAGACTTTTAGTTCCAGTGAAGGATTAATAAAGTAGTGATTGATCATAGAGCTAAACAAAAAAAAGAAAAATAGGCGTCTTCGCAACGGTGTGTTCACATCCCAGATCTCCGGTTTAATGGTCGTGGAATCCAGGCATCGGGAACGGACGGGCGAACGCCTCGACGCGTGAACGCAGATCAGCGATACGAGACGCCGTCTCTGAGTCTTCCAGCAGGAAACTCTTGAAATCAGCCAGTTTCTCTGAAAGAAGAAAAATACAAATAAAATAAACCTTTCCGGCTTTTTCAGTTATTTATTTGTATCATTTTGCCTGTGTTAATGCCAACTGCATACAATTTGGCACAGGTGTGTATTTTTATTGGAATTTTACTATTTCACCTTCATTTCCTTTAACAAATCTATTTTGCACTAGTAACACAAAATAGTTCCTATCAGCACCTTTTGGACATACATGTCCCCATTGAAACCAAATCCCAGTGCCATTTAACTATAAAACAATGAAATCTTTCTTAAGAGATTGTAATTTTAACTATTTTTTACCAGATTGTGCCATTGTTCCAGGTTCGGCCACTAAAGCAAATACTCGCTTTATTCCCGTTTTCTGCTTCGGCATATTATAGAGTCAATTGGATAAATTATGCAGCGATAATTGTGTGGGTGTGCATGTCAGAGTGTGGCTTGTATGTGTGTATTACAAAAAATGTATTCGATTCTGATTGGCTGCAGAGTGTCCATTTCCATAGACATATACACTAGACCTCACCTTGGGGTTCTAAGCGTGCGTCAAAACCGCCGCCATCTTGGAACAGGAAGTCTTGTCATAGGAAGTAGCTAGGTAACGCTGCTATCTCTGCCTTTACTTCGAATTCATTGATGGTGTCGGACTTTTGTGCAGCGTATGATGTTAACGGATGAAATCTGAACTAGGAAGAATGTTTAAAAAAAAAAAAAATTCTTTCTGGAATCAATGATAAATACATGTCTGACCGTTGGAACAAACCAAAAAAACAAGAAAAATCGCATTCATGATGATTTATGGTGATTTTTATTTCCGTTAGACCTGTGTCTACTACATTGACGCTGATGCATTATAGTGGAGGGGCTCCCCTGTTTCAAGATGGCGGCTCTATTGACGCATTCGTTCCAATGAACTGCCGTAGCCAAGGTGAGGTCTAGTGTATATGTCTATGGTCCATTTCTAGTAAAGGAGTTCTGGTGTAACCATGGAAACCAAGTTATAGTTTGTAAAAACTTTAGATTTCAAATGTAAAACTAATTAAAATATAAAGTAATGTTTTAAAAATGTGTTATTTGGCAAGTGACCGTGGTATAAGCGGGTTAATGCCCTTCGAGGCGGGGAAAATGTGTCACTGCGTCCAAACAAGATCTCACTGAAAGCTCATTTTTGGAGATATCAACCTCAAATTGGGAACATAACTTAATTAGATTCATGGCTTTGATTTTTCTAGCAGTTTTAGACTTACATGTTTCATAAAATATACATATATAAAATAATGTTCATAAATTATTTTCATTAACTTAAACCTATTTAACTTTTTTTTTTTCGGTTTCACTAATTACTATTTTTTTTACTTCAACAATTATCGCCAAGTGTCTTCTTTAAAACGAGACCAAACTTAAGTCTGTCTCCCAAGCTTCAAATTTTGGCCCAGATATTTTTGTATATATATTTGTAACTTATTTAAATTGATGCACCAGGGTTAATGTGAGATAAAAGGACAGAAGGGTAAGCCATTTTCCTGTATTTTTTCTTTGAATGTAGCAAAAGAACTTCAGGCAACCTCTCACGAGAGCCCGATAGACAGCGTATGGTTTATTCATGTGGTTTCCACTGGTTTACTCACTGGTCTTGGTCTTCACATCCAAAGCGATCTTGATGCCCTGATCTATGAAATCCACAACCTGATGAAAGTCTGATTCCTTGAACTGGCGTGACGTGAGCGCAGGGGTTCCTGGGATACCAGAAGACGGATTACAGCACTCAATTCCATACTCATATATTTCATGTGAATTTTGGGATATTGCATAAAAAATTAAAAAAAATAAAAAACACCAAGAATCTTATCTTAGCGCATAAAATCTTACAAATACGCTTTCATGCACTTATTTGCTATATTTCCATACACCTAATTTCAAGTGGATTTTGGGATATTGCATAAAAAAACACCATGAAAATGTGCATATAAAAAACTAAATTGAGGTGGATACTGTTTATCCGATAAGAAGACATGCGCATAAACTATGATGGAAACACATTTACTAATAAATCTTTCTGAAAGTCGAAGTGTGTGTTCCCAAACACGACAGCGTTTACGGTGTTTCGTCTCACGCTCGACACACACTCGGTTATGATGGAGGGAGAACATCCACAGTGCAGAAACTCACACTTTATTACTGATATTTAGTGACGGTTTTGTTCTCTTGAACACATGAGTGGAAACGCTGCTTTATTCACAAAAGATTTAAGTTAAATTCGTAACTTTGAGTGTGTGAGCATGTGTCGTGTTCCTCACCCAGTCGAAGGCCGCCGGGCGTGAGCGCGCTCTTGTCTCCGGGACACGTGTTCTTGTTGGCCGTGATGGACACCAGTTCCAGAACTCGTTCAGCGCGCGCTCCGTCCATTCCCAGAGGCCTCAGATCCACCAGAACCAGATGATTATCGGTTCCTCCTGAACATCCACAACACAAACACTCAATCAATGGACACTTCAAAAGACACTTACAGCATTAGTGAAACTGGAGAATTCAACTTAAAGGTGAAACTAATATATTATGTAGACTTGCAAAGTGAGATATTTCAAGCCTTTATTTGTTAGTTTGATGATTATGACCCCAAATTCCCCTCAAAGTCATAATCATCAAAATTATATCAAATAAAGGCTTGAAATATCTCACTTTGCATGTAATGAGTCTATATAATATATTAGTGTAACCTTTTAAGTTGAATTACTGAACCTTTGCACCATATTCAGATTTTTCTGTATACTTTCTGTAATATTCTCTTAATCCTTGTGCATCAATTAAAAAAGTTACACATAGGTAAAAAGAGGACAAAAATGTCCATGTCAACAAACTGTCATAAAAATGTGATGCTTTGGAGCACAGACTTAAGTTTGGTATCATTTTAAAGAAGAGACCCTTTGCAGATTATTGCTGAAGTAAAAAAATAATGATAAGTAAATAAAAAAAAAAAAGTATTTTATATAAAATAAATATAAATATAAAATATAAAAATATTTTATATAAAATATAAATTTTATAAATCAGGTTGAACTCAAAACTGCAATAAAATCAAAGCCATGAATCTAAATAGGTTGTGTTTTAAATTTGAGGATGATATCTCAAAAAATGAGCTTTGGGTAACAGTTTGTTTGGGCGTAGTAACATATTTTCCCCATTGGGTGGCAGCAAAACCCCACTGGAGCTCACAGTGAGTGGATTTGAGTTTGCAGTTTTTCTCTCTCAGTATTACAAACACACACACTTATTTTTTTATAACACACATACTAACCACACTCCGACATCCATACCAACACACCCACACAAATATTGTTGCATAATTTACCCAGTTGGCTCTATAATATGCCGAACCAAAAAACAGTAATAAAGCGATATTTGTTTTATAGGCCAAACTTTAAAAAAATGACACTATCTGATAAAAAAATAGTAAAAAATAAAATGCCATCAGAATGAAAGCCTCTTAACAAAGATTGCATAATTTTATAGTTAACTGAACCGGGCATTAAAAATGGCAGTTTTCAATGAGGACATTTTTGTCCAAAAGGTGCTGAGAGGGAGTATTTCTTGTACCTAATGCAAAAAATATTTTTTAAGAAAATGATGGTGAAATAGTAAAATTCCAATAAAAATACACACCTGTGCCAAGTTTTTTGCAGTTAGCTTTAACACAGGCAAAGTGATCAAAAAAAAAAAACTGAAAAGGACAAAAATGTCCATAGGATGCACAAGGGTTCAATAGCAATAAATAACAGTAGACTAGTTAACGCTTCAGTGACATATTTCTCTCTTTTGACCACCATAATTGATCTCTCAATATATTTTCCTCTTTTGTTAAGTCATAGAAATGCCATCATGGATTTCTCTTTTGAAATTGTACTTCTACTGTCTAGAAGTTTAGCAAACCATGACGACTTCTGCTTCGAGAACCTCGAAATGTGTAGTCTGATTCAGTTTTGATGTCGTGAGTTTGGACCGTCACGTCTCAGGTGAAAATGAATCGCAGCTGCTTCAGACACAACAACATGTGTGGCGATATGAAGAGCGGACAGCTGTGTGGCTTTCAATTAGTTGTGCATATGTGTCGGAGAACACTACAGCTGATTCACGGCTTGATTTCACACGGAGGAAATACTCAATGCTGTCCACTTATGAATTTACACATGGTGTGTGATAAAGCGCATTAAAAACACCACATAAACAACATTAAACGCTGGATGTTCGCACCGAATGTTCACAGCAAACGCCCGAACGCACAAAAACACAATTAAACACAATTAACATCTTCCAAAGTTCTCTCAGAGTCAGTCAAACACCCGTTCTGCTGGTTTATTCTTTAATAAAAGTGATTTAGCTTCACCTGGACCTGAGAGAGTGTTTCTGCTCATAATGAGGAAAATAGCAGCTGAACACTGAGAATAATCAACATCAGAAAAGATTATTAAACTGAGGAAAGGACTGAACTCTTTTGCTTCAGGTGGACGAGTTTAAATGAGTTTGAGTGACTTCCCAGTGGTGTAAATCCAGTTATGTGGTGTTTTAATATGAATTAACTCATGGTGTGGACAGTATTTCCTCCTTAAAACTGAAGTGAACCAAAGACAGTCTCAAAAACACGCTTTGAAATCGCTGGTGTTTCTGACGTCACAAACCACCTTGTAACCAATCAGATCAACGTGTGATCGACAACCAGTGGATCTCTGAGTGGGGGCGGGGCTCATCTGCATATTCATAGAACCACACATACTAAATGAGGCGAGGGTGTCGAGTTACACTCAAGATATTTTAAGGCAGTACGACATTTATTTTCAGGGAAAAAAACACTTAAATGTGTAATTTTGGAGATAAAAATGAGTTTTAAGGGATAAAACTATGGACTACAGGGACTTTAAGTGATCAATTTCACATTGCTAATAAAAACAACCTCATTTTTTTTATATAGTGGCCAAGAAGCGAAGGTACGAAGAGACCTACTGTATCGGTTAGTTTTCTTCTTCTTCATCCACTATTCAGCACATATAACAGTATATCAAAAACATGTGAAATTTGTTGAAATGTGGTTGGCTGGATCAGTGTGTTGTGATTGGTCGAGCGATTCGAGTGTGTTTGGGAAATGACTTAACATAACAACCAGTACTAACTAACTCAACCAGGCCCCGCCCCTTTTTTCTGTGCATGAATTATTATAATGAGGCGTGACGTGTTCGTTCCCGGAAGAAACTCAAGACTACACTGGAGGCGTTTCAGCAGTTCAGGAACACTGAGAAGAACTGGAGCTTTTTCCACATGTTTTTCTTGATCAATGAGTCTTTCCGACCCCTGAAAGAGAAGCTTGACTTCAGTGTAAAAACCCACCGGAGACGAGTGTGAAGCCCTTCTGCAGCAGCGCGGCGGCCATGGCCTTGGAGTTCTTCAGGACCTGAGCGATGTACTGGCGAAACATGGGCGTCGTGGCCTGGAGAGAGCGAACCATCAATGATCAAAACCAGTAAATGAGTTCCCAAGTGCACGAATATCAGACATGGAAGGATATTAATTTAGCGTATGAACAGATAATAAACTGCAAACAGGGTTCATACACACGAATGATTATACAGTATATATGATTGAGCTGAAGAATCAACGCTGTATCATATACTTGGATATTAATGAGCAATATTACACTCATAATCATGCGAAACTGCTCTATATCTATATATCTATATCAGACGGGCTCATTTACTGTGAAATAATTGTTTTATTGATAAAATTAAACACCACTTTTCAAGGGTTTTCCAGGACTAACATTTCAAAATGTCACATTCCAGCACTTTCAGTTCCTGTACGAACCCTGTGCAAGTGAAATATAGATTATAGAATAAATATCTGGTACCTGTCTGAGAGCCACGGCGACGCCAGCGATGGCATGGTTGTGTGGGCCGCCCTGAAGCGAAGGGAACACTGAGAAGTTGACCTTGTCCTCCAGGTCGTACATGACCTCTTTACCCTTCTTATCCAGCGAGCGCACGCCCTTACGGTAGAATATAAGCCCCGCCCTGGGGGAGGAGCCACATGAGGAGGAGGAGCCACACAAGAGAAGAATGATCCAGATGAGAGGGGGAGGAGCCAAAAGAGAGGGGGAGGAGCCACACGAGGAGGAGGAGCCACACGAGAGAAGAATGATCCAGATGAGAGGGGGAGGAGCCAAAAGAGAGGGGGAGGAGCCCATTAATGATGATCAGAATAACACTATACTGTAGTATGTAGTATATTATACACAGTATGTTCTGTATGCATGCAACGTCCAGATTATTTATTAGATTAGCAGATTGCATGAGATACTGTATCCCACAATGCACTGCTCAACTTTGACCTCTCATTTGATCAGACTGTTACATCACAAATTTTGACTTTTTAATTCACAGTTTAATTCGTCAATTCGTTAAAATTTTGAAATAAGTCTCTTCTGCTCAGCAAAGCTGCATTTACTTGATCAAAAATACAGTAAAAAAATTCACAATTTGTGAAATATTATTGTAGTGTAAATCATCTGTTTTCTATGTGAATATACAGTAAAGTGTAATTTATTCCTGTGATCAAAGCTGAATTTATATAATTAAAAATACAGTATAAATTGTGAAACATTATCATAATGTAAATCATGTGAAATAGAACGACCCAAAATGTGTGAATTGTAATGCACTAATTTGCATAACCGTATAAGGTCACATGCGTCTCACTGGATCAGATTGAGTGACGTGTACCTGGATCCGCGCAGGGATTTGTGAGTGGTCGAGGTCACGAGGTCGGCGTGTTCGAAGGGCGAGGGAATGGCTCTCCCGGCCACCAGTCCACTGATGTGAGCCATGTCTGCCAGCAGGTACGCGTTCAGCTCACTGCACAGCTGTGTGTGTGTGTGTGTTTGCACAAAAAAAGTATGTTTTGCACTATTTGCATAGTTTTAATTGCCTGGAGTAATGCTTAAAACACTTATGGATGATTTCAATACTTAAAATATTTAAAACTACAAAAACGATTCTGACGGACGGATGGAGAGACACACACACACACACACCTTCTTGATGCGGCTGTAGTCGATGAGGCGAGCGTAAGCGCTGGTTCCGGCGATGATGAGTCTGGGTCGGAAGAGTCGAGCCGTCAGTTCCATCTGATCATAATCAATCAGACCCGAATCAGGCTGAGAGAGAGAGAGAGAGAGAGAGAGAGACACTGAGAGACAGTAAAGTGTTTACAACATTGCGAAGCAGTTGAACAGACACACAGTCTTTTACGACACCCTGGTTTATGATCCATATATGATCGCCGTATGTTTACACTCATCTCTGACTGACAGCACAACACTTCCTGCAACATCCAGACGAGCATTTCCTGTAAAGCTGCTTTCAGAAACTATTGTGAACATGCGCTGTACTTTTATTGAATCTCCAACTGTTCTCTTGTCAGTCTCATAACCCTCAAAATAAATATCAATGAAATGTATAAATAATAAGGAATTATTTAAATAAGTGTAAAAAAATATTAAATAAAAAACAAAATCAAATGAAACACTTGCTAAAAAGATTAAATATTTTACTAGTTTACCCACTGTACATGTCATGTGACAATAAACCAACATAAGATGTGTCGTTAAATTATTGAAATATTAACTAAAAATGCAATTTTACACCAATATCACCATTAGACGCATTTATATAATAAATATGATCAAACTTCCGATAATAATAATAATAATAATAATTCATTACATTTATGTAGCGCTTTTTTTTAATGTTTTCACATCGACGTTGCTTTTTCTGCATGTAAACATTTCTGCCATCCGACCAGATTTCAGTTTCTTTATATTTTCAGCTCATTTTCCCTCTCGGCTGAAAGGAACATTTTCTTACTCTCTCTCTCTCTAACTCTCTCACTCACCCTCACCGTCTCTGAGATCGGGACAGCAGATAATCTCTCTCTGTCGGTCACTCCATCATGCTAAAGTGTGTGTGTGTGTGTGTGTTAGAGGGCCACCTGTCGATTTCCTATTATCTCTCCCATAGAGGGGACTGACCATCCATCCATCTCACACACACACACACACACACACAGTCTTAACATGTGTTCCGTACAATCATAATAATTTAGGGGAGTTACGCCTGTATTTCAATGAGGTACTCTCACTCACTCTCTGACTCACTCACTCACTCACTCACTCACTCACTCTCTGACTCACTCACTCACTCACTCACTCACTCACACTCACTCACACTCACTCACTCTCTGACTCACTCACTCACTCACTCACACTCACTCACTCACTCACACTTACTCACTCACTCACTCACACTTACTCACTCACTCACTCACTCTCTGACTCACTCACTCACACTTACTCACTCACACTTACTCACTCACACACTCACTCACTCTCTGACTCACTCACTCTCTGACTCACTCACTCACACTCACTCTCTGACTCACTCACTCACACTTACTCACTCACACTTACTCACTCACTCACTCACTCTCTGACTCACTCACTCACACTTACTCACTCACACTTACTCACTCACACACTCACTCACTCACTCACTCACACACTCACTCACACTCACTCACACTCACTCACTCTCTGACTCACTCACTCACTCACTCACACTCACTCACTCACTCACACTTACTCACTCACTCACACACTCACTCACACTCACTCACACTCACTCACACTCACTCACTCTCTGACTCACTCACTCACTCACTCACACTCACTCACTCACTCACACACTCACTCACTCTCTGACTCACTCACTCTCTGACTCACTCACTCACACTCACTCTCTGACTCACTCACTCACACTTACTCACTCACACTTACTCACTCACTCACTCACTCACTGGCTGACTCACTCACTCACTCTCTGACTCACTCACTCACTCATGACTCACTCACTCACACTTACTCACTCACTCACTGACTCACTCACTCACTCTCTGACTCACTGACTGACTCACTCACTCTCTGACTCACTGACTGACTCACTCACTCATGACTCACTCACTCACACTCACTCACTCATTCACTCACACTTACTCACTCACTCACTCACTCACTTACACACTCACTCACTGACTCACTGACTGACTCACTCACTCACTCACTGACTCACTAACTCACTCACTCACTCACTCACTCACTCACTCACTCACTCACTCACTCACTCACTGACTCACTCACTGACTCACTGACTGACTCACTCACTCACTCACTCACTCACTCACTCACTCACTCACTGACTCACTAACTCACTCACTCACTCACTGACTCACTGACTGACTCACTCACTCACTCACTCTCTGACTCACTCACTCACTCACTCACACTTACTCACTCACTCACACTTACTCACTCACTCACTCACTCTCTGACTCACTCACTCACTCATGACTCACTCACTCACACTTACTCACTCACTCACTCTCTGACTCACTCACTCACTCACTCACTCACTCACTCACACACACACTGACTCACTTACACACTCACTCACTGACTCACTGACTGACTCACTCACTCACTCACTGACTCACTAACTCACTCACTCACTCACTCACTTACACACTCACTCACTGACTCACTGACTGACTCACTCACTCACTCACTGACTCACTAACTCACTCACTCACTCACTCACTCACTCACTCACTCACTGACTCACTCACTGACTCACTGACTGACTCACTCACTCACTCACTCACTCACTCACTCACTCACTGACTGACTCACTCACTCACTCACTCTCTGACTCACTCACTCACTCACTCACACTTACTCACTCACTCACACTTACTCACTCACTCACTCACTCTCTGACTCACTCACTCACTCATGACTCACTCACTCACACTTACTCCTTCACTCACTCTCTGACTCACTCACTCACTCACTCATGACTCACTCACTCACACTAACTCACTCACTCACTCACACTTACTCACTCACTCACTGACTGACTCACTCACACACTCACTCACTCACTCACTCACTCACTGACTCACTGACTCACTCACTCACTGACTCACTCACTCACACACACACTGACTGACTCACTCACTCACTCACACACTCACTCACTGACTCACTCACTCACACACTCACTCTCTGACTGACTCACTGACTCACTCACTCACTGACTCACTCACACTCTGACTCACTGACTGACTCACTCACTCACTCACTCACTGACTCACTCACTCACTCACTCACGTTGAGTTTGTAGGGCATCGACTCGAAGTAGATGGAAGTGGCCGAGATCCGCTTGACGTCAGACATGTATCCGTGAGTGAGACTGAGACACACAGAGAACATATTACATTCTAGTGGGCGAGAGAGGTAGAGAATGAATGAGGGAGAGAGAGTGCCATCCACTCACTGTCCTCCGTCGGGCAGGTCGAGGCCCATGATCCTGTCGTGAGGCTTCAGGACGGCCGTATAAGCGGCGAAGTTGGCCGGAGAGCCGGAGTACGGCTGAACGTTTACACCCCACAGCGACGGGTCGAGATCGAACGCCTCCAGCGCCCTCTTCTGGCAGAGCAGCTCGATCTGATCCACCACCTCAGCGCCACCGTAATACCTGCACACACACACACACACACACACACACACACACACACGTTAACCCTCACCGCACCAGACGAGTGTGATCCAATCAACCTTACCAACACATCAGTCTCAAAACCAGAAAAAATACATCAATAAATAAATACAGGTAAAAAAAATAAAATAAAAGTCCTAAATTAAAAGTACTTTACACAAAAACAAATGAAAAATTAATTAATGAATACATAAATAAAAATAGAATAAATCATTAAATAAATAAAAAAATAATAAAAGTACGTTAATAAAAATAACATAAAAACAAATGAAAATGAATGCACATAAATAAATCATTATAAACACAAATAAAATAATTGTAAAATAAGCGTGTTAGCTCCTAGACTTCTTTTGAATAAACGAATAGATCTGTACACAAAAACAGACCTTTTCCCCGGGTATCCTTCAGAGTACTTGTTGTTGAGACACGAACCCTGAGCCTCGAGGGCCGCTCGACTGCAAAAGTTCTGTCAACACACACACACACACACACACACACACCACAATTTGATTAATGAGCAGCGATGGAGGGAGAGACTTTCAGAGGATAAAAACTGAAATTTGTGTCTGTTAATTAGGTCAACCAGAACCAGAAACACCTCCTCTAACACCTGATGTACCTGGCGTCCACACTGATGTAAGTTTACTGTAATCAGCCGGATCCGGGCCTAGACACCACCACTAACTAAATTAATAACTTATACAACAAAAATGAAACATCACTGAACTTACTTTAGCTGGACTGTGACGCTATTCTCTTCTAGAAACAAACTTTGTTGCATTATTTTCCTGTTCTCTGTGTAAATCTGTCTTGTAAAAAGCGCTGTATAAATAAAGCAGACTTGACTTGATCCTCACATGACTGCTGTGGAGTGATTGACATGAGGTGTTAATGAGAGAATGACCACACACACACACACACACACACACACACACACCTCTGAGGCAATGAGCTCGAGTCCCCGGCACTGCCTGTCCTTCTCCTTCATCAGAAGCTCCCACATCTGCGGGTCGTCCTGAGCCAGACTCTCCTGACCCGTCCACTGCCGCTCGTCATCGGCCCACGCCGCCGGCGCTGAGTGCTGGCATCTGACGGCGGGAACACACCGGACCACCGGCTGCACACACACACACACACACACGAGATCAAGCTTAGCTCAAACACACTCAGCTCTCGCCCTCAGGAGCTGCAAACAAATGAATCTGCACTAAACAAACTTACAGCAGCGAGTCTTTAAACTCACCAGAGACGAGCGTTATTAACACTGGATTACACACACACACACACACATCCTTTCTGAATCACACAACATAACAATAATTACATGTGCAGAGGAAGAACTGCTCAGAGAGAAACATCACGCATATGAAGATTAATATTATACTCACTCTGATTAGTTCACTCACTGAACATCAAATATCAAATTTGGGATTTACAAATATATATTAAATTATATTAAAATTTGTATTATGCGTGTTTTAAAATGTATATTATATGCGTTTTAATTAAATTATACACACACTACACATCTCACAAATAATAATTTTAAATGTGCATCATATTATATATATATCACAAATTATAATATATTACAAGTTTTCTAATTTGACATATATATTATTAAAAATATGTACTTGCTCATACTATATATATATATATATATAGTATGAGCAAGTACATATTTTAATATATATATATTAATTATAATATATACTTGTATATATATATATATATATATATTAATAATAATAATAATCTAATTTATAATGCATTTACTTTTTATAATAATTATTTAATTCTATAAAAAATTAATAATGTAATTATTGTTTGCTTTATTGCTTTACATTATGTTATAAAATGTATATATATATATATATATATATATATATATATATATATTTCTATGTTAGTGAGTGTGTATGTATAATTTATATATGTATATGTAGGGAAAACAAATGATAAAAATATAAATGTATTATTATTTGTAATATATATATATTATTATTTGTAATAATAATATATATATACAATATTATTATTTGTAATAATATATATATATATATATATATATATATAGTATTTATATATATATAATTATAACGTGATATATACATAGGATTTTACATAGGATCAGGATGATTCATAATAGATCCATGATATAAATATATCTTTATAAACCACAGAACTGATGCCTAAAAGAATGTAAATATAATCTTGATTATGAACTTTAGTTTTCCTTAATTGAAAAAAATCCCCCACAAAATATGAAGATTGACAGGCTGGAATATCCACTAAATGATGGGAAACTGGGATACAGGCGGAATCAGAGCTGAATTAAATGAATTCTACAGTTCTAGTGTGTGTGTGTGTGTGTGTGTGTGTGTGTGTGTGTGTGTGTGAGGAACTTGGTGAGATACAATAATCAGCATGACGTTTTAATTCTGCTCCAATCAGCAACTCTCAACAGAAACTTTACAGCCAAGTGAAAATTCAGCATAACTGCTTATCTAATCATTCACACACACACACACACACACACACACACACACACACACACACACGCTTCTCTGCAGATTAAGAGGTTCTGGGTGTCGTTCGACTCGTTTCTTTCTTGATAAATGTCAACTGTTCTTACTTTCTGAACTCACAGATCCTCCGTCTCTGCATTCAAGAAACAAAAAAAGCTGCAAAAGTACCGTGTTTTTGTAAATACACCATCTAGTACCATAGTATTTTTGAAGTACATGGGAATACCATGTAAATCTGGAAAAGGAATGACGTCCCGCCAAAAGCTGCAAACAATGGACCATTTTTATGCTTCATTCTGAGCCTCTGTTTAGAACGTTCGTTTTTAAGGCGTGGCTCCTTTAAGACGCGTCAATAAACGCTCACTGTTATGATTGGCTAATGTCACTGCAAACAGTATCAATCATAGACATTTTATTTATTTATTTGAAATATTTTTTAATTAATAAATACATAGGCTCCATAGTTATTATAATCTGAACACACATCTGAATACTGTATCGGTGTAGACAGCATCAGTCATTATAATCTGAACAAAGAAAATACAGTTCAGTGTAACATATCAAGTCTGTCATATCAGCTACATAAAATAATGAGAACATGAGAATGTGTGTTTGAACCGATATAAAAATTTGGATTAAGATTTATCTGCCAATATATCGGTTATCGGCTTCTAAAACAAAGAATTATCGGTTATAATTATCGGCCAAATGTCAATATCGGTTCATGCCTAGACACGTGACACGTCCAATCTATTCTCCTCGTAGCTCCTCCCACACCCCCCTCTGATTCGTCTGAACTTTATTCATTATTGCTGACGCAGGAGTCGCACGCATGAACCAAAAGCTTCATAATTAACACTAATAAAGCAAATAAAGGGCCTCGTCTCGTCACAGCAGGACCTGATGAAGCGCTGCGCTTTAAAACTGTTATTAAAAAACTATTATCACAACGACGGCGGAGATCGGTTTATGAGACGGACTGGAGCATTACAGCGGCTCCAACACTCTTCATCACACACACACACACACACACACACACACACACACACACACACACACACACACACACACACACACACTGAAGACAAAGTCCAAACTTCTGCTGCGTTTAATGTTTGTGTGTTTTCCCATCAGCCCTTCTGACGCA